CATCGTAGGAGCTCGAGTCATTGCATGGTCTAGGCAGTCGCGCATAGATGACGACGGTAGCCGGGAACGGTCGGCGTGGAAAATATTCTCTTGCCTCCAGCAATGGGCGAAAGAACTGCATGGCCAACTTTTCTAAGGACAATGATCTTCCTTTGAACGGCTTGTTCTCGTGGCATCCCGGACTTATTGCAGTCCAAAGCACATATGCCTTGTAGGTCGAAGTGTCCAACATATTATAACATATAAAGGCATCCAAAAGAAACGCTACACGGTAATGTAGGGCTCGCTCGCAAAGTAGGAATTATGACGACATTATACTTTTACTGAACAAGTCAACACCGTCTGAACATTATTATTAGCATGTGCTTGCTAACCTTTGAGCGCTGTGCATGTGCCACGCCAGGAATATGTCAAAATAGGTTTTCTCCATGCCACATGTAACCTTCAGATTTCCTTGGCCAAAATATCTGATTCCATTGTGCACTACATACCGTCTCCGAAAAACATCAGACATGCCAAGGCTAACGCAATAACAAATGGACGGGGCGACGAAAATGCTTCAAGAGGGTGTAAAGCAATAGGAAGTCACGCTGCGACTTGGATGGGCTCGTGTGGCCTACACCAGATTGAATCCGCATTTTCCCAAAACTGACAGAACACTAGATTTTAGGAATCACTACATTTCTGAAGGGCAAGTGTTTTGGCAGCTTGCTCATTTTTCAACCCATGTTGAAAAATGCACTAATATCGCAAACGAGTCAAATAGACCTGAGCATATCAGGGGGTATCACAAATATTTCAGTAATGCTTCGTGGAAATGAGTTTGGCTTTGAGGTCGTAAATATACTGGAAAAGTTTGGAAAAGTAAAAAAGATCCGATTTTTTCGATAAAACACATAGGAGTTCCATCAGGTTGACTGAGTGCTTCGGGTCATGCAGACCCGAACAGAGGCTCACTACTCGACTGGACTTGCCCATCTTGTTTTAAGCAGTGTCACTCAGAAAAACATAATTCCTGTGCAGTGGTCAAGCAAAGATAAGACTTTAATGGGAATGGAGCTCTAAACCCCTGCTGGCATAGAGAGTGTAACTACTGTAGAGGCGACAGTCCGCTCGAATCCCATTCATTGACAGGGTCACAATATAAATGTCTCTGTCTATAAATGTCTCCTTCTAGCGTGCGCACATCAACAACTCCTCCGTGGCCGAACAGCGGACCCGACGAGACACGCGCGTTACGTTGAGGGATCCCTTTGGGTGGAATCCCCGAACGAGTCAATTCCCGATTCCGCTGCCACGAAACATGCCTAATGGAAGTGTTGCTGATAACAAGCCACCAGATGTCTCTGTAATATCTAGACACTCCCCCCACGACCTCTCGGAGTGTCGCCTCTAGCTACACTCTTAACTCTATGCTGCTAATATCTATTCTCTCACTTTAATTGAAAGAGTTCGAAAGTTCTGGTAGCTGTGGCCCCTCACGCACGAAGCCTAAAACGTTGTCATTCTTGGCCCTAAGCCAGGTCATTAAATCTTTTACTTCAATTCAGAGAGCCCGAAAGTTGTGGTGGTAACTGTCACCCCAACGCGCGAGGCCTACGGGACTTTTTATTTTAGGCCATAGGCTAGGCCATCCACCGCTCAGAGCGCTTGATCCAAGAGCCCATGCTATTCTAGGGCATGGGCTGGCTATCCAATGCTCTTAGCGCAAGGTCCACTGGGCTATACCCGTCTGCGTCATAGGCTACGATTCATCTTATATTCACAGGCTTCATACTTAGCTGTGTCAATCAAAGGGTGGTACTTACTGAATGCGTGTCACGTTTTCACTGATCGACTGCAAGATCTCTATGGAAATACATTATTTGTTGAAGTATTTTTTTCTACATGCATTTTTTTCCCGTAAGGTCAGGAGTGGGGGTTCGCGCCGTCGCGACCATGCAATGCTTTTCTGCTTGCGTTTCATGTCATGGTCAATATTTTTGAGTTTTCATGATCGATGAAGTCAAAAATAACAACACTGAACATTTTGCGTGGAGATATGAAACATGAAACTCTTCCCGTCAACATTGACGGTAAGGATCTTCGCGATGGTGTGTGTTGAACGCGAAGAATAAATGATGGTGGAGGTTGCACAGGACGCGATGAGGCAGTCGCCGTTCATGAAATGGTCGTTGTTGGCGCGAAAACGCATTTGCCATCGTAGTTGCAGTGCGAACTGCAGAGAACGATGCTTTGGGAAATGCTAGCCGTGGTGGTCGTTGGGCTAGAACGAGTGATGAACAGCGCGCAGCAGTGAATGCTGTACGTAGTGAACGTAAGGGGCGTGCAGACTGCGGGACAGTGGGAGACATGGAACGCTTAGCGCAGGAATAGGCGAGTCGCGCAGCCTGTTGGGCAACTCGAGGCAATGAACGCAGCGCGCAGGCGTCCAGATCAATCTACTCTTCAACGAGCAGTTGTTGCGGATACTCCTGATACTGGTCCAGCCCAGCTTCATGACTTGGGTCGAATGACTGCATTATGCCGCAACGAGCACTGTCAGGTTGTACATTTAGCTGCAGAAAAGAGGCATTCCTTTCACTGCTGCTGCCACAATGAAGAGGTATTCCTGCCGTCACTCAAACTTTACCCTGAGCCACTGCAAGTGTTGCTCACGGGTAATGATGCGGCAGCCAGACATTTTCAAGAGTTTATTCCTCAGTACTGTGCCGCGCATGCTTTCTTTTCTTTGGCGTATAAGTCGAGCAAGTTCGTAGAAATGGTCCGTATTGTTCCAAAATCAGTGGTGATGTGAACATCCATTACCATTGAGCAAATCGATGATATAAGAGTATTGAATATACTGGTACCAGCAAAACCGTCCCGAACCTCATAAAAACCAAATTTTGTTGAAAATTATTGATGTATGGTTTGAACGGAACTGCTTCATGTCTTAACGTAAACATTTTCACATTTCCACCCGTTAGACAGCCGGCGTAGCGGCCGCAGGCCGTAGGTATACCTGAATTCAGCGAGCACACACTGAACACAGCGAGCAGTGGTTAATGAGTCATAGAAGACAGGATAGAGGAAAGAGCGGGAAAGGGGCTGCCAAGGCCAGCGTTTAGGGGGGATTGGGGAATAGCTGGCAGAGCCCCCCCTTGGAGCAGGCGAAGATTTTCTCTCTCCCTCTCTCTCTCTCTCTCTCTCTCTCAAAGAGCTCGGAGGCTGCCTTCCCTTCACGCAAGCGCGTTCAAGCGAGTGAAATCCCAATCCCATACGACGTAGGGGATCACAGCCACATTCTCCTGGAGTTAGTGTGAGGGTGCGTGTGTGTGCGCGCGTTTGTCGCCTATCTTCAATGCCCTCGAGGTGAAGCGGGTGTTCCACTCGGAATGCTAAGGGGTATCGAATGGTGCAGCTCAAATCAATGGCTGAAGAGTCGGGAGATGGGAGGGGGGGGGGGGGGACAAAACCCTACCCCAGCGATATCATGAGAGAAAATTATTGCCTCCATGGGACACCAAGTTATTTCTCAAAGTCGCCAGGGCGGCCGGGTCAAATTTCTTTGAGCTGAGGTGCCGCGAAATGCATGGAAGAAGATGTAATCTGGATTACACTGCGATAGGGGACAAGGTATTTATGAGGATAGACCTTGGGGTTTGGGGGAGAGGCACACTCCCTGACCTTGAAAACTCAATGCACTAGTTCTTTTTTCCTTCTTCCCCTCCTGTGGATATCTGTATTTTTTCTCTTCTTCTTCCCCTCCTTACAGGTTTTGGCATTTACAGAACAAACAGCTTGAAATGCACATGTGCACATTACAGTATATCCTGTATCAGGATCTGGGAGGAGGCCATTGGAGTGCTTAGCTTCGCATGCCTGCCTTCACTCTTTATGTTTACAAAACCCTGCCGTCCCAGGGTTTTGTCAACATAAAGAGATAAGGAATTTAGCAGCGTTTTCAAGTATCATATCTTGTCCTGGGAGACATTTTATGGGGAGTGTAAACATAAAACTTGAGAGATAGTTTGGACTGGCGTATACGCACGCATGCCCTACAGCAGGGGTTCCCAAACCCAGGGTCGCAACCTAGGGTTTGGATGTCAAATTTTGAGTCGTGGCCAAAACATTTTGGTAACCACTGCCCTACAATAAGGGATTTGAAAGCCTCACGAGCGGGAATGAGAAGCCGGGGCAAGGGAAGCCTTTGGACTTTCAGTGAACCCTTGAGGGAGCCATCATCCGGAGTTGGGATTGAATTGTGAGCCGTCCATCCCCCCCTCCCACACACACACACAGAGACTAGGTATTCTACAGGTATTCTTTTTCTGTCATCCGATATCTAGTAATCGTCTAAGAGACAGAATTCGATATTGGTTCCCTCCTACTTTGTTTTATCTGTATTATTCTTGACCACTTCCTAACCAATCGTCGGAACAAACTCCCTGTATCCTTTAATTCTTTCGCTGTGGCTGACTCGTTTTTCCACCATCATGCTCCATTCCTGCACTCCTGGGAAGGAATTTAAATGAAATTTAAATTTAAAGAAATTTAAATGCCGCAGCGAAAAGATTAAGACAGGAATCCAGTGTCAATCCTATAAATCTTGAACATGCTGGCGATCTGATAATGACTATCATCAAATCTAATTCACGTCGAAGCTGTTTACATTATTCAGCCATTCGACCGGTTTCGTCGGGGTATACGGCCGGCCTAGACCATCAACAGTTAATTTCAACCTGTTTCTGCGGATAAACCCATGAAGCCAGAGATATTAAATGGAGATCGGAATTACTTCCCATTCCAAGAAAATTTCAGCTGAAGTCCCTTTCTAAATGTCATAGACTGCCTATGATTGGTTCAAAGAGTACTTACTGTACTAGTCTCCCATACCCCCCTCACCTTTCTGTTTAATGAACCTTTCACCTCTTCAGGTGGGTTTCTGCGTAACGTCATTTCTAATGATAAGAAGTAGCCCATTACTAATGAGGGGGAAAAGTTCTAATGATCTATTGATGCTGGTTTGTTTGTGGCAGGTGTGGTGTGTGCGACATACGGTGCCCGTCGATCCCTGAATCCTCTTTTAATTCTGATTCAGTTGATAGGACATGATGGAGGGAAAGAAGCGGCTGAGCCCATCCAATGATGGAAAGATTCTCAAAGACAAGGTTCGTGAAGCCTCTAACCATCTTGTGGCACAGAGTAAGAACACTCCTAATATATCATCACTTCAGTTCAACAAGTTTCTTCCTGACTTTACAAAAATTCCAAATGATCTAATTCAATTGTAATTATCCGCATAAAAGGCCCTTTCACGTGAACAGCAGGAATGTAGGACAACGTGAAAGCGGAAATATTGAATGTTTAGCATAAAACCTTGAGACCAAGCTGAACTTTGAAGTTATTTCTCTTTCATTTGCCCGACTGGCAGATGAAACTTTATTGAAATAATGTGGCAGTATGTCTTATTCCAAATAGGGGGAGAGGGTCAAGCATAATTGTGAAGATCTCAAGATACTAAGTGGCCTGAGACCCCTGGAAAAAGCGAAAGAAGGCAATTTCTTCAAGGAAGATCCTCGAAAGAATCCGTGGATGAGAGTGCGCCTTGCTGGACACGAAGACCTTCCTTTCTGTGATGCTGCTGAGAAGTACCAAAAAGAATATTATCCGGAAGCAGAGGAAAGAGCTTATTCGTTCCCTGCTGGATATGTCCTCAAAGGCAAAATACAGGAGGAACTGTTCCATGAATTGGAGACATCTGAGCCAGCCAATGAAGCTAATGAAGAAATAAAAATTAAAAGTGACTTCACTGCCGAAGCTGAGGTTTTTGACTGCTTGAAGGAGGAATTGGCCCATACACCCAGTTTCATTACATGCGGGTATGATTTCAACTCCACGTTCTACAAAGCAATGGGAATCGCGGGTAAATGGACTAAAAAAGGAGAGGAACGTTGGAAGAGAAAGGGATTTGATATCCTGAGAGGTGAACTTGATGTATGTGGGATATTCTTCGACGGCAGACGAGTCGTTGTTCTCTCCATCGAGGTCAAGAGTATCAAGCAAACAGATAACCATCAAGTCCTGAGAGATCGAGTAGGGGGAGCTGTTGGTCAGCTCAAGAAGTGTGAACAGTTTCTTCAACAGATTATAGGGGCTATGTCCCTGACTGATATTTTCTTCTGCAGCTTCGTCGCTCTCCCATATGTGTCAAGGAGGGATGTCGCTCTTTCCTTGAAATGCGATTGCCATTTGAATATCCTCACAAAGGACGATCTGGAGTCCCGAACTGCCTTCAGGGAATTCCTATGGAATGAAGAACGTGGAATCACTCTCACGCAGCAAGGGACAACATATATAAAAGCCAAGCAATGTTATTTGGATGTAATGAGAACTTTCGTGGCAGCCTCGGTAACAGTAGAGGAAATGCCAAGAACAATAGAAGAGCTCCACGAGAACATTGACAAATGGATGCAAAGAGCCTTGTTTTTCTTAACTCCTCATCAAAAGCAAATTTTGAAAGAGGACCGGTCTGTTCTTTTCCTGGTCGGGGGGCAAGGAACAGGGAAGACTTACTTGCTCCTAAATAGAGCCAAGCAACTAGCAGAAAAAGGGGAGAAAGTCACAATCGTGAATATGTCAGAGGGGAAGCTAACCACAAACATGAAGAAGTGGTGCAAAGAGTCACAGGATATGAAGGACTTCATCACGGTCATGGATTACAAGGAATTCTTAGCGACACGTCAGAGTAGTAACACTGCATCTGTTTTCTCGAAGATAAAGCAGTTTTTTCTTCCCCGAGATGATGTCAGAGGCACTCTTCTCGAGAAGATCAATGCTCAAATAGACAGTCATGTCCTGATTGATGAAATGCAAATCAACTTCGGCATGGTTGATAGAGATGTATTGCAGCTTGAAGAAAAATGGATGGAATTTATGCGGGAAAAACAGTGCAGAAGCCTTTGGATCGCATGGCGTCCAAGTGACACCACTTACTCCGAGATTCTTGATATCCACAGGATCGTGAATTTCTTGGGACGAGAAAAGGTGGAGATGCTTAAGGAAATGAAGCGAAGCACGAAGGAGCTGGGGGAGTTTGTGATAGAAGTGACCCTATTCATTCAGAAGAGGTTCCCGTGCTTCACTGACCTCCCGATGCAAGGCCTGGATTATGGACTCCATGGCACGGATGATTCTAATGAAGAAAAACCATTACCCGGAGTTGTCTTCGTCCTATCTCCTCCGACTGAATATGAGGTTTACCGATGGGCATCAGAGGCTATCATGGCGATTCAATCGTGGATGCCACATTCCCGAATCTTCGCCATCATCACCAGGGGAGACTGGGAAAGGAATGCGTTGGTACTGGAACTCGGGAATCGACTGGAACAAAGAGTCGCCTTCCTCGACTCTCAAGGGACAGTCCGAGGACACTCTCGAGCGAAGTTCCTAGTCTTCAATGAAGTACAGGTGATTGGAATGTCATTCCGGAATCTCATTCTCTTGGATGAAGGAAAAGTTTTCTATCGCTCTTGGTCTCGTGTGGTGGGGATGGCCCGAGAAAGCCTCCACGTGATCACGACAGACCCATTGCCCTCGGGTCACTGGGAAGAACCAGCACAAATGGGACTCATCTCCTGCCATTCTCTCAGTATATCAAAGCAGTCATCTTCCGGTGTTTCTCAGGATCCTATGGACGAATCTTCCTATGAGAAAATTTCGTGGACCGATTTCTTGGAAGAAAATTATTTCTCCTTACCTGATTTCAAATCCGAGGAATGGAAGATAGAGCTTATTTTCGGACCGAATCGTTCTGGCAAAACTGCATTTCTTTTCGACAAGCTAAAGAAGAAGGCAGAAGAGGGAAACGAGGAAATGCGGAAGTCTGGGGAGACTTCGTGCAGACGGGAAACGCTGGAAAAATCAAAGAGATATGAAAAGTGGGGGCGCAAACATAGGATAATGTTCGTAGACTGCAGCAGATGGGCCAGGACTGACTATCCTCCTAGCCTTTCTCTGGTGGACGTGAAAGAGAGGATGAAGAGTACAGAAATATTGAACGTGGCAGGCATCCTGACCCCCATGACGCTGGACGAGGTCGTGGACGTCTGCGATGTCTACGACCTCATCCAGCTTCATGTGCTCGGGACAAATGTGTCTCTTTCACCCCAAGTCATAAAAGAACTCATGGTGAGATTGCTAGAGAATGACGACCGTGGACTCCACATAGCCTTCGACGATGTCCCCATTCATGGATATGTTGCGTCTGGAGACACGGATAGTCTGAGAGTGGAATGGGAGAATATTATTTCTGCACTCTCGTCCCATTCCCCTCTCGCTTCTCTCACCATTGCCTTCCATCCCTACATCGACAGAAGGCACACCTTCAACGTGAAAGAGTTCAAGAAAGAATTCCAACCCTCCTCACCAACAAGTTAGATAGCAACTTCTTGTAACATGCAGAAGCAACGTTCAGTAAAACCAGAATATCGAAAGATCTGTGGAAACATTCTCGAAGAATACACTCCCTACGAAAATCTTGTAGAATCTTTTAGGATTCCATGTGACTTCTGAAATATAAAACAATTCATGGGTTTCTTATTGGAATCCTGAAAGAACCGTATGAGAATCCAATACGAATTCGAATATATATATATATATATATATTTTTTTTTTAAAGTTGAAAAGTCTTATGGGATCATACAGGGTTTTTTGTGTGGTATGTCTAGGACTTCATGCCAAAGGGATATCTGGGGATAAATGCGGCAACCGTCGAGAAATTTTAATAAATACCTCAACGAAATTGGAAAATAATAGAGGATTTGGAGCGTAGGACTTCTGTGTAGTCATTTGGCGATACAGCATGTCTACACAGAAATATTCCTACTGGTAATTGAAACTGATCACCGACAGGAACGCCGCGTGAATTTTCCAGCCTAAACGAGTGGAAATTCACATACAGCAGAAGAATACGAGTAATTGATACTGAGTCGTCCCTTATTCCAAAAAGCCAGGATACCATTTTCTTCAAGATACTTGGGAATAGAGGATCTATGACGTCAAATATCAGCTTATTAAAATTAGCCCTTGTTGGCACGTCATGCTCCCCCCTTTTTCCGTCGAACAGATGTGAGGATTCTTCAGGGATGCCAGGACGCGAACTTTCCGCTTTGCCGCCTCCTTCATCGCGTCCTCTCCCACGAATCGTCCGCAGAGCTTCAGGTAAAACCGGCAACCCTCAACACCCAGCCGCAGCCTTCTTCCCTCGTTTTCGGTGTTCGACCCACTCTTGTGACCCCTCCTATCGGGTTGCACTACCACGGGAGATGGAAGTGCATCGGTGGTCAGGGTCGAGGATGCGTCGCCATCACTGCAGCTGCGTTCTTTCTCTCCCAGCCTCACGTATGTTCTGTCCAATTTTCTTTATCCATTTAATATCATTGTATCGACGATATACCTCCCGATCCTGGAAAATGGAATGATGCACATGTAGGGTGTGAGCGAAGGGTGGTATTTCGGGTTTTCTGGAAAGATATATGTCTAATTGCTCGAAGAGGACTTCAGTCAGAGTGACTTTAAGCTGACTTTGCAGTCCTTATGGAAATATTTTTCAATTGATCATATACTCCAACCCTCTACCTCTTCGTCGAATAAACGTATGTGAATCTATCCGAGATGCATATAAATGTCTCATTTGATAAGAACGCTGAAAACTTACAAAATTTCCAATTCTACGGCGTATAAGGTTTCCGATTAAGGGCATGTTAACATGGACTTTCCCTCAAGCACTATTGCTGTTAGAAAAATTTCCCAAGTCCGACGTCCGACCATGAAACAAACGATTTTTCACGCAATCATGTCGTAAGATCCTACGTCCTCTATTCCTTGAAAAATGACGAGCATACAATTAGGGCACTGCTGCTTTACGTGCATGAAATGTTAATAATATTTGAGGAATTCAAGATATAAATACCCTCCAAGTAATACCGAACTTACCATGTTGACACCTTTAGGAAGAAACCAGCGAATTTTTTGGTTTCTGACACGAAATGTGGATGACTCAGACTCACTCACTCACTCACTCACTAGGTGCTTCTACATGGTAATTTATATTATTCCCATTTTCCCTTACCATTTGGGCATTTGGTGAGTTCTTTCTGTAAAGTTGTACTGCACACTTGAAATCCCAACCGGTTTCAAGATCCATTTTTATGAGTACTTACAGGAAATTTGATTCATATCGCTCAACTACTTATTGATGCTACAATTTCAATGGTATTCTGAGTACGCCAATTTATATTCAGAAAGTTTGAATCAATGATGGAGCAAAACATATTGCAAATGAAAGAAAGCTCACTTCTTTAAATTAAATTGTCATTCTTGTTAAAAGGGAGACGTTGTGGTGCTAGTCTCGGACGAAGAGATCCAGAAGATCTTCGCTGAAGCTCTTGGAATGATGGACTCTGCGAGTGGCTCAACATCCAGGGAAGCACCACAAATTTTTCAAGTGAAGGATTACCGAGGCTGTGAGTATTCCCACGTAATGTGCGTGGGAGTCGAGGACACATGGATGGTGGAGGGGATCTCCCGAGCCATCCAGACTCTCTACATCGTCGACGGAGGAACTTCTGCTGCCGTACAGAGCCGGATGGGCCTCTGGATGGAGATGGAACGAAGAGGCCTCCTCCTCCATCGCCCCTTACAATCTTCCAATGCCCTTGAATCCCTCTCTGACGAAAACTGGAAGTCATTGAATCGAAAAAGTCTCTTTCTAAAGGTGTAGTTTCAGTCTTTTTCAAATAATTCCCAGACATCTTGTTTCTTTCGTGTTTTTGTCTTCTCATGAAAACGTGAGATTTGATCAATCTGTAGTGTATGTTCTTCTCTGCAGATACCTCAAGATACGTGTATGGATGAAACTGGAAGAACAGAGATTTCCTCTCTGAAAGGTAATTCAAAACCATCAGCAAACTTCCTGAACCGCCTTGAAAACATCATTGGCTTTTGTTTACAGCGAAAAAAGGGAAATTCTTCTATTCAGTCAAACGCGTGGCTAAAATTCCTTGAACTGCTTGCATTCATACAAATAACAAAGATTTCGCGCACTTGCTCTCTTGAAATCTGGTTAATTTCCAGTAAGATAAAACTAATATTTTTCAGTTGGTTCATCTTTTTTGTTCTTTGTCTGCCTTCCCGAGAGTCTTTGTGATTTTTGCCTTTTGCACGACACCATGAGATTCCAGTGTTAAAACTCCAGACATGAAGGCATTCCATTTGTATGATGTTTTATGAGAAAGAGGCAATCGGCTTCTCTTCAATTCGATTAGAATACAGTACGCGTTAAATATCTGAAATTAATTTGGAATGTTAAAGGTGCTCCATGTGGTCGCCATTCCTTATGATTCACAATTCCAACCGACATAAGCACTCGTTCTTTGTCACTTCCATGTCACTGCCGACAGAATTTAATAAAATTTCTTAGGATAAGCAAATAATAATCTATATAATCATATATATATTTTTTTGTTTCCAGTTTCACTGTAACAGAGTTTAAGAATCTCGAGGGAAGGAGATCGAAACCTGTAGCACCGTTTGGGTTGGCGAAAGAGGAATTATAAAAAAAAAGTATATAGAAATAGAACATTTGGCATTCTTTCATCAAGGAAGAGAAGCTCTTCAGAGCTTCTCTCCCGAAACAATACATACTTCAGAACCACTTTACTTACATATTTCTAAAGGAAAGATAAAAGGAAAGAGTTTCATTACCGCCTTTCCCACTCGACTCCTCCAGTCCAGGAATATTTCTTAACTATGATTCTGTTTCCCTTGCAGGGGCAATGAGAATTTTTGCACTGGGGACAGGTGAAGACGGGCTACCAGGGATGTGGGAAGTCTCGAAGGACAAGAACAACAGCACTCTCTGGGTCCACGAAGGGCATTCCGCAGGGGATGTGTTCCTTCCCCAGTACGACATGCTTATCCACGGGGCAGAGGGGGAAGTCCGGATTCTTCATCTGGATGGAAAGGATGCCCATAAGGCTCCTTACAGTTGGGACCAAAAACTCACCATACTCCCTCCTTTTATCGTGGATGGGACTATGGGGGTGGGGACCTGGGACTCTCTCTTTCTCTTAGGAGGGGAGAAATATCCTTGCGAAGGACGCCGACTGGATCTTGACAGTGGCACCTGGATGGATCTCCCGAAGTTGACTCAGGGGAGACAGGACGCAGCTTTGGTGATGTTAGATCACAACAACATCCTTGTCTTGGGGGGGTGGGACCCCCAAAAAAAGAAACAGCTCTCCGGCTGCGAACGTTTGGACGTGAGAATGAGGGGGTGGCTCCACTTTCCCCAAAACCTCCCCCTTCCCGTCGTTGGCCACGCAGCGACCCTCTACGATGATCATGTATACATCTCGGGGGGATTCAGAGATGGGGAGTCTCGGGGGAAGGTGTGGAGGTGCAGGGTGAATGGGGAAAGTCCCTGGGATACACTTCTTCCCTCTTTACAATTCAAGAGACATAATCATGGGATGGTGGAAGACGGCGCAGGGGGACTGGAAGTCATTGGGGGGAATTATGAAAGGGCGGGAGGAAAGAGCATGGGAGTCCTTTCCACGGAGAACCTGACTCTGGATGAAGGAAGAGGATGGGAGTCCAAACACAAGCTTCCCTTCATTAAGCTGTGGAAGGCGAGCTCGATGAAGTTCATCAGTGGACGGGGATCCCCTTCCCCTCATTTCTGAATCTCGTAACTTAATCTCACACGGATGAACTTTCGGCAAGTATGGAGACGGAATGACTTCTCCCCGACGAGACTCACATCCCATCTATTTTCTTCATTTCCCGCCCCCCTCAAAACGCCAAACTGCGTACAACTCCGTAATCGCACGGATGTGATGCACGAGGCGAGGATGCCCTTTTGAGGGTGGGCAATGCTCTTTCGGCCTGCCCTTCCTTCCTCGCGGCACGGAAAAGAGGAAAGGCATGCATGATCCGTCCTCGCCTGTTTCGTGTGAATTCCCTTAATTCAAAATGACCTCAAAATTTCTTCATCTCTGAATTTCATTCTGCGGATCTTAAATATTTTCCCTTGATCAAATATTCGTGATCTCGTCCTCTTCCACGAACGCCATGAAAATAGGAAGTGAAAAAATTACTATTCATATATGTGTCATTCCAGGGGAAAAGGGCCAAAGTATATACATTTCGAAACGAATGGGCAATCCTGCAGTTGATGTTATAATAAAGAGTGCATTTTAAGGCATGCAAATGGCTGTGGTTTTGGTCATCCTGGCTGCAATGCTATGCAATATCACTATTTCAATTATGGGCAACCTTTTTATGGCAGCATAAGGACTTTTCACAGCATACACTGCCTTTCATGTTCAAATATTTTTTGGAAGACCACCTTGAGTCCACATGGGCTCCGCGAGAAATATTAGGTAGGCACTTGGTGAGACATCGCCACGCCTCTCATAGGAATGGATGAGGATGGGCCGAATTGAATGGGATTCGGGTGCATGATCATCATGACCATCTCTTCCACCCGAGCGGAGTCTTGTGAAAATCGCATTGCCATCGTAATGGCAAGCATTGGCTAATGAGTCATAGGTAGCAGGATAGCGAAAGGGGCTGGCAAGACAGGCGTGTAAAGGAAGGGGGGCCGGGAAGCACGGTGGGCAGAGCCCTCCTTGGAGCATGCGAAAAGAGAGAGCGAGAGATGGGGATGGAGAGAGTGTGTGTGTGTGATATGCCACTCGTCCGAAGGTGCTCTGTCTCCCTCGTGTTAGTGCGAGAGTGTGCATGTCAGCGCGCACGTGTTGCCTACCTTCAGTGCCCTCGAAGCTAAGCGAGTGTTTGACCCGGGAAACTATGCGGTAGCGAATGCTGGAGTTTAAATCAGTGGCGTATTTTGGCTGAGGTGTCGGAGGAGGGTTGGGGGGGGGGGGGAGCGATATCAGGGGAGAAAATTATCACCTCCATTGGGACATCAAGTTCTACCTCATGACGCAAGGGGACGGCAGCTCCCCCCACCCCCCCACCCATAAAGTACGCCACCGGCGGTAATCCTTCTTTCAAATGACTTCTAGAAGTTACGCATGACCTATCGTATTCATTTGTTCGCCCACTGGAAGTGTCTTGCAAATCTCGTGCCTGTCGGATGCGTACCTTGGCCATTTCCGCTAAAGGGTACGTGTGTGTGGTTGTCACTTTTCCATATTATTTCTTACCCCTTCCAACAATTCACCAGCTAAGATTATCCGCCATCATTCTCATACTATCAAATGGATATGACCCCATCTGAAATTTGTATAGCATCGAAGAAAATAGGAGGATATTAATATTTTCCGGGTCAATTTTCCTCGAGCTGACGTAAATCTAAATGCAAGGAAAAAGACTTCATCGATGGGTTATCATCTCATCTTGGGTTAGGATGCGCTGCGAAAGAGTAGGGGAGGTGGAAGATCTAGAATTTAAGCACTTTTTAAATTTAGAAATTGAGTTATGAACTCCTATTAACGAGTATGGATCATAGGGATTGGGGAGAGAGAGGAGAGTGGCACACTCGCTGTCCTTCAAAACCCATCCCAACAGTGGTCCTCTTTCCTTCTCACCCTCTTCGTGCATTATAGAAATCTGCATTTTTTCTTATATTCTCTTCCATAGGACATTTTTCGATCACGACTCTCCGACCTAGAACCTGTCCTCAAAGGCCACCGAAAGATTCGAACCAGTCGTGCGTCCAAGTCGTTAAATGTATGGGACAATATGAGGGAGCCGCAACCGTTATTTTTCTCTCAAGGCCATGGATTTAGAAAGGAAAGTCCCAAATTTCTATACCGTCTCGACATAGAATTGCTATTTCTAATGGAGTGGCCTCAGTGTAAATTGAATTATCAGATCTGAACGATATCTGAAAGTCTCCTGAAGAAGACAAGGTAACCAACGTTCTGCTGTGTTTTGAACAAATACCGTGCTCTACAGAAATTGAGGAAATGGAAGAAACGTGCAGAAAATCTAACAACCCCAACTTCAATGGAAGAGACCTTGCACCCCCCCAGCCCATTGCTCTCTGACCTTGAACAATTGATGTCATATATTGGGATGATACTGGGAGCTAATACGCATATGGAGCTCATATACCATGGTCACTTAACCGACTGAGAAGGGAAGAAACACTCGTTATGATTAGCAGCACAGAGAAAGGTGCAAAGTGCTAGTACAGTAGGCATGTAACATATCTGTGAGTGAGGCTTTGCACTCTCAATCATTCCTAATTCATGAAAACTTTAAATACTCAGTTGGTACTCCTACCTTAATGCATATTTTTAAACCTCAGTTTGGTTTTTGTAAGGTTTTCAATGGATGAGGCCATGAGCTTAAAGATCGAGTGCTCAAACGCAACGAAGGGCTTCAAGCGAGTAAGAAGGCCGCAGAGTCAGATTTTTCGAAGAACCAGGAAGTGCCACTCATGAACTCCACCCATCATCAGAACATCTTTTCAAGACGCAAAATGTCTCTTCAATTGAGTTTGACTTTGAAAGCTGAAATGGTACTTAATGGTCAATGCAGTATCACTCCCTCCTTTAAATCGATTATTCCTCGCATAAACAACTTAACATACCGGGAGGTTTTCTTCTTTCTTACATTACCCGAAGATATCCAAGGGATATCAATGTAATACATCATTGTGTCTTTATAAAGATAATTGGCATCGCCAGACTATTCTTAATTCTTCCCCACGTTAAGAAAGCCTGGCAATCTGAAAATTGAATTCCTTTGCAGCAAGGGCCTGTGACCTGTTTCCGGGATCGGCTCAATGGCCTCATGTGTCATCAAAGGATTTCCATTTATTCGTACTTCTCAGGTGAACAGGCTTAAAGTCGAGCTGTACGTCAGTGGTTTCCTCAACAGGTTGATGACTTTCATCCATTGTTTTACCATTGGTAATCCAATGTTCCCAGACAACTGCGTCAGCATGGATAAATATTTCCTTGAAAGGAATAAATACAACATGTAGTCCCTCAAGAAAAAAATCATGTAGGAATTTCCATATGAATCCTAAGGGTATCCTATAGAATCGTATAAAATACCTATGGGATCCTATAGGATACCTATGAAATACTTTAGGACTCTTCAGGAAACATATACTGTAGTTTTTCTTCCTGCTACTTCCTACTGCTTTCGCAGTAAAAGGTGCTGACTTATCTGAACGATTCTGTTTTTCGTGACTTCCCTGAATAACATTCCATCAAACGTTTGAGAGAGTTTGTTTTTAAAGCACACCTGTGCTACTTCGTCGAAGCAGCGTTCCAATCATCTGGAAACGGCCTAGAGGAACAAACTTTTTCGTAAAGGAATTAAATACCTTCGAAACAGCCAAAAATGGATCGTGGCTAAGCAGCAGCCTCGTCTTGAGGGAGAATATGATTCATTCCATGCCAAGCATCAATGTGACTGCTGGGGGTTATTTCTCAAATTCCAATTAAATTTGGCATGCAGCAGACCCGTCTTGACAAACGAACACCTGCCAATTTGCTTTAACTCTTTCATGGCTGAATTAAGAAAACGAAAATAATTTTTCAGTAACCATTTCTTCTACGCAAATGTTCTCCAGCTCATATGAAAGCTTTGAAGAGAGCTTTCATCATATTTTTTATATTAAATTCTCTAATCCTAGAAACAAGGAATTCATAATCTGTTAAGGAGCAACAGCATTTGACTTCGCTTTGCAGAAAGAGCCACTTTTTTGAAGTTGTTAAAATTCTCCTGAAGTATGCGTATCACTTAACAATTTAAGGAAATTCGGCGTTTTTTGTGGGTCCTAAAAATACGTTTTTAATGAGGATTTTAAATGCTCTACAAGGCAGCACAAAGACCGAGTGCTCATGTCCTAACCATATATTGCAGTTTTGAAGAGTTACTTGGCTTGAAAGTTTAATTTAAATTCCAGATATATTTGAAATACCAACATTGGTTCTCAGCCTCTGATGGTTTCAGAAAAGAGCTTTAAAGTGGAGAAACCGTTGCTCTATAACAGGGATGCACAACTTTTTCGCCTAAGGGCCATATAGTGACTACTGTGTGCTCATCTCGGGTCAGGCATCGGAGGACGCAGGGCAGTCTTCAATGGGAGGGCATATCCTATTGGATGACAGTGCCAGCAGAATAATTTTATCTGGCTGCGGACAGGATGAAACCTTTCGCCAGAACGAATTTTGCCCGCGAACTGAAAGTAGTGTACCACTCCTCTATAGTGATCATATCGCGTTTGATAGTTGACACTTTCATCTCACAAGTCCATTGGAGCCCTTCCAAAGCTTCAAAGTGCTCTAGACTTTTCCAAAAGCTACTTGATGGTAGATTCATAACATTTATTCACACGAAAGCATTGAATCGTGTGCCAGACGAACTTTGCTAAACCTTAGTCTACGTTTTCATGTTTGAATAACACATCTGAAAACTTGAGCTCCCAACAAGAACCTTCACCCTTGATTCTCTCATTCCCTACGCACTGGAAGGATTGGGTAAAGTGCGCAAGCATCATACTCATTGGTCATTTTTAAGAATGTATGTCTCCACCCATTCCTATAAATTTAGATCTTCCCAGTCTCATCTCCATCGGAAGAGTTCCGTTCAATGTCCTCTTAGCTAAAGCTAACCTGCTAAAATAACCTCATGCGGTTCCAGCAGAGATCTCATGCCTTCTCCCCTATTGAGGCTCATGAGTCAGGTAAGGTCT